GCTAACACGAAATTTCGTGTATAGCTAAAAGATGTAGCCGAAGACGACATTTAAAACTACCAAAGTCAACTATCAAAGTCAACTGTCAAAGTCAACTATCAAAGTCAACTATCAAAGTCAACTATCAAAGTCAACTGTCAAAGTCAACTATCAAAGTCAACTATCAAAGTCAACTATCAAAGGCAACTATCAAAGTCAGATATTTCGTATATAGCTAAACAACCATCAACATTTAAACTATCTAGCAGTCAAAATTTGTCTAGCTTTCTAGACACGACATCCTGAACTCTATATCGAGATGTTATCTAGTTTAATTTCAGTTTTATTATTTTTTTATCTAGTGAATATACTCAGAAAGTAAAGTGCCGCCATGCTGATTTATTGACGAGTGGCGACCTCTTGTGTTTATAGAATAATTTTCTCCGTTGAGGAAAAGATTTTCTATCGATTCGTTGTAATAGAACTCAATTTTCCATTTTATTTTTTACATCTGTAATTTCTCTAAACGTAGGATTACCACGCTGCTATCAAGAATTAAATCATCGTTTTTCTTCTTCATTTGACAAATAGTTAAACCTGTTTTCATTCTATTGGAAATGCTGATAGCCTAAAGACCGGTCTAATCTATATGATATAGCTATCTAAACATCTATTCTATGGTAGCCTAAAGACCGGTCTAATCTATATGATATAGCTATCTGAACATCTATTCTATGGTAGTCTAAAGACTGGTCTAATCTATATGATATAGCTATCTGAACATCTATTCTATGGTATTCTAAAGACTGGTCTAATCTATATGATATAGCTATCTGAACATCTATTCTATGGTAGTCTAAAGACCGGTCTAATCTATATGATATAGCTATCTGAACATCTATTTTATAGTAGTCTAAAGACTGGTCTAATCTATATGATATAGCTATCTGAACATCTATTCTATGGTAGCCTAAAGACCGGCCTAATCTATATGATATAGCTATCTGAACATCTATTCTATGGTATTCTAAAGACTGGTCTAATATATATGATATAGCTATCTAAACATCTATTCTATAGTAGTCTAAAGACTGGTCTAATCTATATGATATAGCTATCTGAACATCTATTCTATGGTAGTCTAAAGACTGGTCTAATCTATATGATATAGCTATCTGAACATCTATTCTATGGTAGCCTAAAGACTGGTCTAATCTATATGATATAGCTATCTCAACATCTGTTCTATGGTAGCCTAAAGACTGGTCTAATCAATATGATATAGCTATCTGAACATCTATTCTATAGTAGTCTAAAGACCGGTCTAATCTATATGATATAGCTATCTGAACATCTATTCTATGGTAGTCTAAAGACCAGTCTAATATATATGATATAGCTATCTGAACATCTGTTCTATGGTAGTCTAAAGACCGGTCTAATCAATATGATATAGCTGGTCTAATCTATATGATATAGCTATCTGAACATCTGTTCTATGGTAGCCTAAAGACTGGTCTAATCAATATGATATAGCTGGTCTAATCTATATGATATAGCTATCTGAACATCTGTTCTATGGTAGCCTAAAGACTGGTTTAATCAATATGATATAGCTATCTGAACATCTATTCTGTGGTATTCTAAAGACTGGTCTAATCTATATGATATAGCTATCTAAACATCTATTCTATGGTAGTCTAAAGACCGGTCTAATCTATATGATATAGCTATCTGAACATCTATTCTATGGTAGTCTAAAGACTGGTCTAATCTATATGATATAGCTATCTGAACATCTATTCTATGGTAGTCTAAAGACCGGTCTAATCTATATGATATAGCTATCTGAACATCTATTCTATGGTAGTCTAAAGACCGGTCTAATCTATATGATATAGCTATCTGAACATCTATTCTATGGTAGTCTAAAGACTGGTATAATCTATATGATATAGCTATCTGAACATCTATTTTATGGTAGCCTAAAGACCGGTCTAATCTATATGATATAGCTATCTGAATATCTATTCTATGGTAGTCTAAAGACTGGTCTAATCTATATGATATAGCTATCTGAACATCTATTCTATAGTAGTCTAAAGACTGGTCTAATCTATATGATATAGCTATCTGAACATCTATTCTATGGT